AATACTACTGTGCTATAAGAGATGATGAGCTCAATGATCTTAGAATAGCATGGAAAGACTTACACAAAATACTGAAGAGTGAAGTGAGCAGAACCAAGAAAACACTGTGCACAGTAACAGCAATATTGTTTTAAGAATGACTTTGAGTGACTAAGTCATTTTAACTATTATAAATACATAAATTAAAAATTTTTAAAAATGAAGAAAGATACTATCTTCATCCAGAGAAAGAACAGATAAATAGAAGTATGTGTAGAATAATTTTACGTGTGTGTGTGTGTGTGTGTGTGTGTATACCCATTTGTGTTTAATGGTAGCCATCTCTGAGGGAGGGGGAAGGGAAGAAAAAAGAAAAAAAATAAATTTACATAACTTTATTATATATTTAAAAGGAATAAGCAAGTTGTGCGTAATGGATTTGCAGTTTCATGTGTTAATCATATTTTTTACTTGTGCTTGTTTTATTCTATAAATTAAACACATAAATAAAGAGAGAGCAGTTTCAGTTGAATCATGGGGTCAGCAGCCAGATCATAGAGAGTTAAGAAGAGAGTGAGAGGAAAGGAATTAGAGGCATCAGACTGTAGAGAACCTTCTAGAGGAGTTCAGCCACAGAAAGGAGAGAGACACAGGATGATAGCTAGCATGGATGGGTCAATCAAGTGCATGTTTTTTGAGAATGGGGGAGAGATGCGCATGTTTATAAAAGCAGGTAAGCAGCCAGTAGACAGAGATTGGAGATAAGTGAGAGTAGGGATGACAGAGGGGAAAATGTGCTGGAGGAGACAGGACAGAATGACATCACTCGCGTGCAGTTCTAACTGCAAGGGGTTTGCCTTGGCCAGGAAAAGGGCCACCTCATCATGAGAGACCAGGGATGAAGGAGAAGATAGTGGCAGTAGACATCATGGTGAGTGAGATGAGGAAGAAGAGGAAAACAGAAGATAGAGATTTTTGTAATTGGTCTCAATTTTTTCAGTAAAATATGAGGCAAGTTTCTCAACTGACAGAGTAGAGAGCTTGAGGAGGGATGAAAAGGTGTGGAAGAGCCACTATGGAAAGAGGATGGTGAGTTAATTAGGGAGACACAAAAGATTGCCTTCCTGCAGTGAAGCCCAGTTGAGTTTATGTAACATACATTTGTAATGGACTCAGGCAGCATAATTTTGTTATTCTCTCTAGCTTTATTCAGTGGTGTGAGATTAAGCAGTGAATGTTGGGAATAATCCAAGGCTAAGTCCTAGCAGGGCAAAAGATAAGGAGGCAAGGAACTTGAGAGAAGGGCACAGTGTGGTGTTGAACTGGTTCGCCAAGAGATAGAGACGGCAAAGTGGGGAGAATGTATCCAGTTTAGGAGTCATGGCCTCAGAAAGGACTAAGGGGTTCAAGGGATTAGAAGTCATGATAGTGACCTTAGAGGTGGATGAAGAACAAAGTTTAGAGTTACAAGGCCCAGGAGAGGTAGAATGAGAAAAGATTGTGATTAGATAAGGGAATGCCAGAGTTCATGAATATAGAAGGGTTAGATTGGTGGGTGATGGCAAGATGACTATCTACATCTGTATGTAGCTAAGGCAGGATGTGGGAGATCCTGGGAAATGAATAGATTCAGGAACTGGGAGATTAGGGCATTTGAGGCAGTATCAATATGTATGTAGAAATCCACTACTATGAGGGCAGGAGTTGGGAAGGAAAGCAAAAATGTAAGTCAGGCACTAAATTGAGGGGAGAAAAAAAGGCAATATCCAAGTTCAGCAGACAACTACCAAAATTTTGATTGGGTGGTAGATAATGGATTGAGAGAACTTCAAAGTACGATAAGTTACAGAATGATGGTGGTAGAGCTTGGAACTGGTAATGGGGAGCAAGAGGTATTTCAATTCCTTCACTTCAACCAATGAGTTGGGGGCACGAATGAAAGTGTGACCAGTGCTGGAAGTGTCATCAAAAGGGAGCCAGGTGTCAGTGAGAGCCAGCAGGTGGAAGGAGTAGGAAAGGAAAGGATTTAAAATGAAAGCAAGCTTATCACCTACAGTCAAGCTTTCCAGAGAGCACAGTAACTTTAGAGAGGCATATTGAAGGGGCTGGGTTGAAGATAGTGGAATAAGTGAGTGGATGGTGGGACACTGAGAATGGGAAGGAAGGAAGGAAGGGAGGAAGGAAGGAAACATTTATTAAGCATCTACTACATACCAGACACTGCTAAGTGCTTTACAAATTTTATCTGATTTGATTATCACAACAACTATGGGCATTAGGTATCATCTCCATCTTATCCCTATTTTAGTGATTCACCTAAGGTCACACAGCTAGTAAGTGTCTAAGGTCAAATTTGAATTCAGGTTTTCCTGACTGCAGGTTCAGTACTCTGTATACTGTGCCATCTAGTTGCTTACCAAACCCCATGACAGCCTCGAGTTCAGAATCATTGTGATGGGGAGCGTTAAAGAGGGTGAGAGTTTCTTAATTATTAAGGAATAAGTTCTGGTAGGTTATTAACATCTCTTGGAGTTTGGATTCATGATGGAGTCCTTTCAGGGTATTAGGCAGCTTATGCAGTGGGCTGCTGGAATGATGTCTGTGTTCCCTGCAGTCCAGAAGAGGTCAGGTTATTGAACCCGTGACCAATGAAATGGTGTTTTTTTGTCCCCTGCAGGCAAAAAAGGACCACTGTAGGCTGGAAGAGGGCAAGGTAGGAGTATGCTGTTGGATGGAATGATCTCTGTGTGTGTGTGTGTGTGTGTGTGTGTGTGTGTGTGTGTGTCTTTCCCTGCAGACAAGAAGATGTCAGTCATGGAGACCCATATGGTGATGGAATAGTATCTCTCTGTCCCTTTCAGGCAGAGAGAGGCCAGGCCCAGAGACATATAGTCAATTGAATATCAGGGCTCCTAGTCATTCTGTACACTTCTATACTGTCCATCCCTCACTTCAAGGTCATTCTAATCTAATCCTGCCAACTATTGCTGAAGACATTCTACTACTATGGTATGCCAGGCCTGACTCAGGCTGGTCTGATGGCTCAGGTTTGCCCTCGAGACAAAATGGAACACTTGCAGACCATCTAACAGTTAACAAAAGATTTACTTAGCCATAAGATGGAAAGGTTTTTGGCAAGGACCACCATTGATTTGGGTAAGCACAGTATTTGTGTGTGTGTTGGCCATGCTGGTGCATTGACCAGAACTTTGTGCCAATCCTAAATGAAGACCTCCTGACTCTTTATGAGATAGCTTTTATACTAATGTCACTGGGAAATTCTTAGCCTCCTGGACCAAGCAAGTCTTGAAGATAATTTAGTACCTTTTAAGATAGAACTAGCCTAGCCTGCACAAACTTGCTCCTATCACAGAGTGAAAAAGAAAAGGTCTTATCAATGGAGTCTGCCTAAGCTTTCTGACTCTAAACTACCTGGTCATTTCCAGGAGGATAACCTTAGTCTGGACTTCTAAGAAATTCATGAATGATACAAAACCAAAAGGATTTTAAAGTTTAAAGTTTGGACTCTTTATTAATTCCTTACTCTCCTAAAGCAGTTTTTTTTCCTATAAATCCTGTAGGTATAATAAATAGATTAAAATTTACTCTGGATTTGCTATTTAGTACATTAGTTAATGAGGTTTCTTGTATCCATGAGTGGGGCCTGTAGGCAATTGCCTGGGGCTAGACTAGGCCCTTTCACAAAACATAGGTGAAGCAAATTATCAATATTTAAAGGTAAGACGATATTGTAGGAGTGGTTTAACTAGATATTAGCAAAGTTTTTGATGATGTATATCATCACTATTCTTTCTGAACAAGATGGAAAGATGTGAACTAGAGAAAAACAATTAAATGGATTCTTACTAATTGGATGGCTAGACTCAAAGTCATTAATGGTTTAATGTAAGTGTGACAAGAAGTCTCAAGTGGAACACTCCAGGGATCTGTGAAGGACTATGTGCTACTTAACGTTTTTATCAATGTCTTGGAAAAGGCATAGATAGTATTCTCATCAAATTTGCCAGTGACACAAAGCTAGAAGGGATTGCTAACACACCAGACAAAAAGATTCAGAGTCCCAAAAGATCTTGTCAGTCTAGAACATGGTGCTGAATATAATAAGATGAGATTCACTTGTGTACAAAAAAAATCAACTCTATAAGTGCAGGATGAAGGAGGTGTGCTTAGACAGTAGTAGTAATGCAGTGGGTAGAGTGTTAGGCCTGGAGTCAGGAAGGCTTATCTTCCTGAATTCAAATCTGGCCTCAGATACTTATTGGCTGTGTGACCCCGGACAAGTCACTTAACTCTGCCTCAGTCTCCCCAACTGTAAAATGATCTGGAGAAGGAAATGGCAAACCACTCCAGTATCTTTGCCAAGAAAACCCCAAATGGGGTCACAAAGAGTTGGGCTCAACTGAAATGACTGAACAACAACAACAACAACAACAATTTCTGAAAAATGTCGAAGAGGAAGGGAGGGGTATTTAGTGATTGCAAGCTCCATATGAGTCTACCACAATGTGATGGGGCAGCCAAATAAACTAATGTGATCTTGAAGTGGGCTGCTAGGTGACACAGCAGATAGAATGCTAGGACAGAAGTCAGGAAGACCTGACTGGCCTCAGACACTTACTAGCTGTGTGACCCTGGGCAAGTCACTTAACCCTATTTGCCTCAGTTTCCTCATTTGTAAAATAAGCTGGAGAAGAAAATGGCAAACTACTCCAGTTCTTTGCCAAGAAAACCCAAAATGGGATCACAAAGAGTCAGACCTGACTGGAAAATGAGTAACCAACAAGAAGATCTTGATATTCATTAAGAAAGGCATGGCTCCAGAAGTAGGGAGTCCTATTTCACTCTTAGATCTCGTTTGGAGTTTTTTGTTTACTTTTTTTTTTTTTGGTGGGCAATGAGGGCTAAGTGACTTGCCCAGGGTCACAAGTGTCTGAGTCTGAAGTTGAACTCAGGTCCTCCTGACTCCAGGGCCAGTGCTCTATCCACTGCACCACCTAACTGCCCCTTGGTGCTACAACTTAAGGAAGACATTGATAACCAGGACAGTGTCTGCTGGATGAAAGGCAAACTGGTTAAAAACACTGCATGAATCTATGACACATCAAGGTCAGTTGAAAAAACAAACAACAGTGGGTGTTTAGCTTGGAGAAGAGAACACTGTGGGGGAGCACAAAAGCTGTGTTCCTCAAATATTTGCAGGGTTGTTGTGTGAAAGAGGGATTAAGCTTGTTCTGTTTGTTCCCAGAGGGCAGAATCAGGAGCACTGTTAGGCTGTTACAAAGACGCAAATTGAGGCTTGTTTACAGGAAACCTTTCTAACAACAGAGAGTTGTCCAGTAGTGGAATAGGCTGCCTGAGAGGTGGTGGGTTCTCCCTTCTTGGAGGTCTTCATGCAGAAGTTGGATAATTGCTTGTGATAGTAGGAATTCCATTTTGGGTTTGGGTTGGACTTGATGGCCAATAAGGACCCTTCTAACTCTCAAAAGTTGTCATTCTGCAATGTCACAAAGGAAATGATATTCTTTTGAATAAGTTGCAGAAATATAGGTCAGATTTCTATGGAACAATCATCAAATTTATCATTTAAATTTTATATGGACAGCCCATTTTACATTTTAATTGTATTCCAAGTATTTTCTGTCCTTGAAACTGCCTTATTTTCAAGCTAAGCTCTCTGATAGCATTTATAACTTTTCAAAGTCTACTGTACTGCTGACCAAAGCCAAATAAACTCTTGACATATGGGTATGTATGTCAAGTACTAAGTATCAAATACTTGGAAAATAATTAACCAGAGAAAAATCAACATGTCTGCTGGACAAATTTTTCAAAGTCATGAATCAATTACAGCATCCAGATCAAAGATGATCCAACCTCCTAATGCTATATGCACATCACACTCTAGATATCAATCCCAAATATAAATAGCATTGCTCTATAATATTTTCCAAAAAATTACAATGCAAGAAACTTATAAATATAGCATTAATATAAAACAATCTTATGAGCAGTTAAAATATGAAACAGTTTGTTGCTATTAAACTAATAGCATTGGTTCAGTTGAAGCATCTTCAAATTATCTACATGGGGAAAAAATAACTATTCCATGAATGTATCTATCTGATACTCTTTTCTTGACATTCCTCTCTCCTGGTTTTCTTCCTCTCTATCTGACTGCTCCTTCTCAGCCTATTTTATTGGATCTTCGTCCAGGCCATACCTGGTAACCAGGGGTTTCCCATAAGCCTTTCTTCCAGGTCAGGAGTGTGCTGGAGCCAGGCTGTGGAGAACTAATTAGAAAATTTTCAGTGTGAGCATTCACAAATCAGCAAATGACACAAATCCCTGATCTGGAGCTTCTTGTTTCTATATTTTAAGCCATAGTCCAGAAATACAAATCCCATTCTCAGACATCATCTTATTAGACAGCTGTTTACTTATTAAATAATTTTTTTCTCTTTAGCATCCCTTGGTTTCAATGATCAGCATTAAGGAAAATGCTACCATTGTTTGTATGGTTCTTGCCTAAGACTGTTAATATTTAGCAAAGCTTTTTAGGTTTCTTGTGGTAGAACCATTTGTGCATATGTGAATTACCAAAAGTGGGAAGAAATCATCAGTTTTGACAAATATTCTTTTTTTTTTGACACATGTTTTGGGAAAACTACATTTAAAAAAATTTTTTTTGGGGAAAGCACGAATGTAAGTGAGGTAACCACACCTCACCACTCTCACACAGGAAAAGTATACCTATTCTTACTCTCTAGGCTGAGTAACTCATCTCCAAGCTGCCTTTATATTGGCAGATCTAGTATCCCAGAGAAGGACCCCCACCACACAGCTACACTCAGACTATCTCAGGGTCTTAGGAGTAATTTTATGATGAGTATGTGTATGAGTGAATACACTTCCCCTGCTTACCACTTTAATTCTTAAGCTCAATGGTGGAATGGATTGCCTAAATATTTAAAACATGTTACAGAAACCTGTAACTCATAGTATTATGCTTTTCCAGGAGGTCGATAACTTAAAACATTAGGCATGGTGTGAATTGATAACAACCATTCTAGAAACTGGTTTGGAACTAAAATGTTGCTAAAGTTTCTAAACTGTCCATACCCTTTAACCCAGTGATACCATCGCAAGGGCTGCACTCAAAAGAGTTCAAAGAAAGAGAAAAGGGGCCCACATGTCTAAAAATATTTGTAGCAGATCCTTTTGTATCAGCAAGAACTAGAAACTACGGAGATGTCCATCAGTTGGGGAATGGCTGAACTTATCATGGTATATGACTGTAATAGGATGCTATTGTACCGCAAAAATTTGTAAAAGGGATTATTTTGATGAAACCCTGAAAGACATGTATGAACTCATGTAGAGCGAAGTGAGCAGAAGAACAATTTATATAATAATAACACCATAAAAGCAAACTATTTGGAAAACCTTAAGAATTCTGATAATTGCAATGACCAACCATGACTCCAGAGGATTAATAATAAAGATGTTACTCATTTCCTAACAGAGGGGATGGATTCAGGGTGTAGAAAGAGACAGATAGATGAGAGAGAGAGAGAGAGAGACAGAGAGAGAGAGAGAGAGAGAGAGAGAGAGAGAGAGAGAGAGAGAGAGAGAGAGAGAGAGAGAGAGAGAGAGAGAGATAGGACATGGCCAACATGGGGATTTTTTTAAACTTGACTATGTGTATTAGTTATAAGGTTTTTCTTTCCTTTTTTTCTTGTGAGGGTGAGGAAAGAAGAGAATATCAATTTTTGTCAAATGAAAAAATAACAGTTTTAAACAACTGAGCATGGATCATTAAGTGGGACAGTTGAATAGGCATTTCATCTTCACTTTAGCTTTGCACTATCCTAACAACTACCTCAAGGTCCACGGCTTCTGGCAAGCCAGGCTAGGGCTTGGCCTTATCCTCCCATTGGTGATAATATTCTCTTTGAAAAACCTTTGTGGCAGCTGCAGGAGGTACCTCCCTTGGTGCAACTGGAACCAAGGGAGGAACTCAGGAACTTCCAAATCCCCCCCTCCTTTTTAAATAGAGATAGTAATAATATGTGTGTGTGTGTGTGTGTGTGTGTGTATGTATGTATGTATATACATACATACACATAAATCCATATCATATGCTATGTATAGCATACATACACACTTATACCCACGTACTACTCATACATACAGAAACAAAATAAAGAAAGCCACGTATAGAAATTATTTACATTAGTAATAATACCCCTTTATAACAATAAAAGAAAAATGCAAATGCTAGAAATTTCTCAATAGCATTATTAAACCAACAAGCATAATTTTAGGCACTTGACAAATTGATAAAAAGTCCACTAACAGCTGGTCTGAGGAATCACTCTGTGATCCCTCTAACAGCTCTCTCAAAGGAACTAGCAAGTTTGGGTCAAAGATTCTGCAACTCCAAGTGATCTAACCTACTCTGAGTCCTCTCCATGGATCAGTCCTCCTTCCTCTGAGATAAGAAGAAGCTTAATTTCACCATGTGGAACTCCCAAAATCTTACTTCTGAAAAATTCATTTCTCATGATCACTGTTTGGTCACATATGCTCAGGGAAAGAAATACAAAGCAGATAAGGCAACCAGAGACCCAAGGCCCAGGTCTGATCTCATGCAGGCAACATGTGCTCTAGCTACCACATGTTAGAGTTGCCATAGGTGCCAAGAGTGGAGGGAGAGGTGCCCTTCCCTTGCCCTAGAGCAAGCCCCGGAGAGAGAGTCTCCTGTCACATGAAAGAAAGAGTGCAAGAGTGGAAGTTTTCTCTCTTTTTAAAGTCTGCAGAGTAGGGAAGGAGAGGAAGGGGATAAACATTTATATAGCACTTACTATGTGCCAGGCACTGTGCTAAGCAATGTATGAATATCCTAACTCAGTGGCCAATCTTATCTGATGCTATCACAAGGGACCAAGGCATTGCCACATCATTCCAAAGGGCCAAGTCCTTCAGGGCTGAGCCAGAGCCCATGCAAACCATGGAAAGTAGCTCAGAGGAGCCCAGCTTGGTGCCATGCATGCTCCAACAGAATGTGCTATAGCCAGAGCTAGGGTAGGGGCAACAGGGGAGGGAAAAGGCCTACTTCCCCCATTACAGAAGTTTAAAAGACAGGACAGAGAAGGCAGAAGAGATCAGAGGAGATAAGTATTTCTCAGTCTTGTTTGTCATCAGTAAGTTTGATGAGCACTGCTTTTCTTATCGAACTTTTTTTGGGTAATTTACAGCTTCAAATGTTAATGCTCAGTCAACTGATGCTCACTGAGCACCTGCTATGTGCTGAGAGGTAACATACCATGATGGACAGACATAATGGAGTTAATAATAGCCCTTGCCTTGTAGGGTTGTTGTGAAGATCAAATAAGATAACATATACAGTACTTTGCCAAACATTATTATCGTTGTCATTATTATTAGCAACTTTGATGAGATTGAAAAGCAATACTCTTTCTAAGTGGCCCTTAGCAAGAAACAGCAAAACAAATATGCAAATTAGCAGCAGTGACAATACTATTCCATTTGCACACTGACAAGCAAATAAGTAATTAGTACTGTTCTAGTTAGCCCCATTACATGGCAGTCTTATGTATATAGCTGCAACATAGAGGACTGCAGAGCAGGTATAATGGAGGCAACTATATATAGAAAGACTAAGTCAAATACAAAACAAAATATTAGAAAAACAAAAGAAAGAATACAAACAGGGTTTAAAACAAAAAAAAATCCTACTGAAAACTTCAGTGAGAGAAAAAGAATAGAATAAAAGAAATAAAAATATACTTCAAAAGAAAATAAAATTGTGTGTCATAGGCAACAAATCTTCCAAGTAATACCAAAACCATTGAGCTAAATTTGACTCTAAGCTAAAAAGAAAAAATTAAATAACAGAGAGTATAAAAAATGAAAAATGTTTAAAATGAAAATTAAAAATTTTGTAGTACAAATATCTCCAATGTGTGTAACAATAATGCTGGAAAATCCTGCTTGAAAAGATGTGGTAAGAAAGATTTAAGAGAACATTTGAGGGGTAGCTAGGTGGCACAGTGGATAGCACTCTGGCCTTGGAGTCAGGAGGACATGAATTCAAATCCAGTCTCAGACGCTTGGCACTTACTAGCTGTATGATCCTGGGCAAGTCACTTAACCCCAGTCGCTTTCACCAAAAAAAAAGAAAAAGAAAAGAAAAAAAGAGGGAGAAAACATTTAAATTCCTAAAGTAGAGAAAAAAAAATTAAATCATATAAGCATTATTTATAGTGGTGGTATGGAAGAAGAATGGGAAGAGATGTTTGTGTATACTACTAGGCTTTGAATAAGGAAACCAGAATGGAACAATATCCCATGCCAAGAGATCAAGATGCCCTGGATTGTCTGTTAGGCAGCCAGTGGTTCATAGTGTTGGACTTACCCAGTGGCTACCTACTAGATTGTTATGTCAGAGGAAGAGAATATGAAGATTGATTTCATTTGTTCACCTGGATTTTACCAGGTTGATTTTTACCAATGCATCTCAAGGGCACCTGTTATCTCCTAGAGCCTGGCAGAGAAAGTAGTGAGATAACTATTGGTCTAGTTTGATTATATCAGGGGTGAGGAACCTGTGGCCTTAAGGCCACATGTGGCCCTCTAAGTCCTCAAGTGTGGCCCTTTGACTGAATTCAAACTTCACAGAACAAATCCTCTTAATAAAGAGATTTGTTCTTTAAAACTTGGACTCGGTCAAAAGGCCATCACCAAGGACCTAGAAGGCAACAAGTTCCCTACCCCTGGATTATATCAATGTTTTTGAATATGAGGAGAACCTGATGACAGTGTTAGGTAGGTTAGAGGGAGATGGGTGAAAGCTATGATAGCAGCTTTGAAGAATTTATGTCAAATATATAGGTACATAAATACAAACACTGACCTAGAGAAGATAGAAGCATTCTTGACTTGCCCATACTGACCAAATCTTCCAGACCTGAGAATTTTTCTAGTATTTGCCAGTACACGATCCTCTCTTTCTGTTCTGCTATGCATTTGGAAATGTTCATTTTATTTAGCATTTAAATTCAGAATAAAAGAACAATAATGTTGCTGTCGGTAAACCACTGAATGACTTCATTTGTGCATTTAAGATTAAAGATGCAGATTCAGAAGAGCAAGAAAGTTGTTCCTTTTTCTCATCTCTCCTTACCTTGAGCTTAAAATTTTTAGTTTCCTTCAAAACTCAGCTCAAGTAGCACCTCCTACATTACTTCCTTCCTGATCCCCACTGTGAAATATAGGTTTTCCCCCTATAAAATACAATGTATTTGTTTTTTTAAATTAAATTTATTTTTTTTTACATTATAAGTTCTGATCTGTTTCCTTCTATCTCCACCCCGCACTAGAGAAGGCCACCACTTAACACAGATTACATAAATGTGTGTGTATGTGTATGTATGTATATATATATATATATATATATACATACATACACATACACACACACATATATATGCAAGTACATTATGTATGTGTATATACACACATATATATGTAAAAGCATACAATGCATACTTCTATTTATCAGTTCTTTCTCTGGAGGTAGATAGCATCTTCCTCACAGGTTCTTTGTAGTTGACTTGAGTATTTATAATACTCAAAATAACTTAGTCATTCACAGTGGTTCTTCAGACAGTATTGCTGTTACTATATACAATGTTTTCTTGGTTCTGGTCATTTCACTCTTCATGATTTCATGCAAGTCTTTCCATGTTTTTCTCAAATCAACCAGCTCATCATTTCCTTCAGCGCTGCAGTATTTCATTGCAATTGTTGTATTTTAAAAAAATACTTTGTATTTCATTATATTTTGTTTGTCTAATAGAATATAAGCTCCTTGAGGGCAGGGACTTTCCTTTTCGTCTTCCTATCCCTAATGCTTGGCACATCCTATGACCATAATAAATGATTGTTGATCAATTTGTAGCTTGCTGTGGTTTACTATGTTCTGGGTTCCACTGTCTAGGGATCAGAATTTTAGGTCATTTTGCATTAATTTTGCAGCCAAGTCTATAGAGGAAAAGAAAATTCTCTAGTGGTAGTTTTAGTCTTAAAGCACAGAAACAACTGAGAGGGTGGAGAGAGAACTGGCACCTACCTTTTATTTCCCTCCCCACCTCCCCACCCTCCTATCCCCCCACCCCTCATCCTCCCATACCCTGTTGTGAACATTCAGGGTTCTGGTTTCCCCGTCCTTGTAGAAGAATTCAGGAATGTCAGCCACGCAGCCAGGAAGAGAACTGTCACATCTCCATCTAGGTCATCTGAGCCTTTAGCTACTCTTGCCTGATCCCTCTGTTTCCCAGAATGCTGTGCTGTAGGTAAGCAGTCTGTCAGCTTTACACCTGCTGGCTCGTATCACTCTTTTCTTTTAAAGGGATCAGGGACTGACTTTTAAAATCCAAATGGAATGTGTTACTGGGGACAAAAATGCACATCTGTGCTGAAATCAGAGCAGCCAATTTTTTTTTAAATGTTGAAGTACTGAAAGGGAAGAATTGTCTTTAAAAGTCATTTGTCACAGTTCCTTCCCCTCCCTCTTCCTTCATGACCCTTTACGGTTCCCAGAGGTTTAGGAGAGGTCTGACCTGAGAGACTTAAGGTATTTGGATCTTTCTTCCCTTCTGTTGGGGTCATTTGAAAACAGCCCTCAGAGGAAACTAACAAGCAAGTACTTTTTTTCTTTTTTAAAAATAAAAAACACCATATTTTATTGATGCTTTTTGTTGTTACATCATTCCAGATAGAACACCCCCCTTGTAACAAAGAAAAAACAATTAACCAAAAACTTGTGATAACAGTGATAGAATATGAAGATGTATTCGGTCATAATAATTCCTGTCTCTCTTCACTGGGCAGTGGAGATGGGGGTGGGGGTGGGGTAGGGGAGAATACACTTCCTTATCTGTTCTCTAAGACTGTCCCCTGGGCTTTTAGTTATTCAGAATTTGTTTCCTCTTAGTGGTCTTTTCATTTATATCTTTGTGTATATTGTCTTCTTATTCTGCTTTATTTCAGTCTGCATCAGTTCACACAAACTTTTTTTTTTCTAAATTATGTGATCCTTGTTTCTTACTGCACAATAATATTCCATTACATTCCTCTAACATCGTGTTGTGTTATTGGTTTTTTTAAGTCCACCTTCAATCAATGAGCATCCGTGATGTTTCCAGTTCTTTGCTATTGCAGTGGCTGCCATCTCTTGGAGGATGGCTGTGGATCCATGCTAAAGGGAATGAGTCACCAAAAGATCCTTGTTGAGCTTTGCCTGTTCCCATGACTAGAGTTTATATTGAAGATGATTTGTGACTAAGTCAGAACTGTGGGCCATAAGGAATGAGCTGAGACACATTTTGGATTCTTTTGAGGCAGCCATTTCTTGCGGACACAGCCAATACCAGTTCTCCCTTGGACTTTAATGAGGGAAGAGAAGGGTTTTTATCTCCCTTTCCCTGGGCAGCAGTGGTGACTGCATTGCACATGGAAATAAAAACATGGGCTTGCCTAGATGAATGGGAGACTGGCCCTTGTTTCATGTTTCATCCCAAGAAATGGATATTTCCAGTCCTGTCAGTAACCCTGTGAGTTGAAGAAGCTGGGATCTGGTCACTCAGCAGGGGGTGATTTTGACAATAGTTCCTCAGAAGAGAAGATGATTACAGTCTAGAGAATGCTAAGGCTGAAAGGTGTAAGAAAGCCCCAGCCATGCTTTGGCTTGTAAGACTTGTGAGTTCCTCAGACAGGACAGATCGAAGGAGAAACTTTGTGGGAGGTAAGAAGTGAGAGGGTGTCCAAAGAGAAGATGGCAGAATTTAGACCCTGTTTCTGCATCAGACAGAGAGGAAAAGCAAAACCATAATGGTTTGGGAAGGCAGAGACTGTGGCCACCCCTGCCTTAGCTCTATGCCTCTGCAGCTTTAAAGAGAAGAGTATGTAAGGACTCCAACCAATATCAAGATTATGTAACCGGGAGGCAGCTAGGTGGCGCAGTGGATAGAGCAACGGCCCTGAAGTCAGGAGGACCTGAGTTCAAATGCGGCCTCAGACCAAACACTTGACACTTACTAGCTGTGTGACCCTGGGCAAGTCACTTAACCCCAATTGCCTTAAAAAAAAAAAAGATTTATGTAACCAGGGATTGACATGCAGACCTGATGTATAGTACTGAACTCTGGGTGTTAGGGAAACAGAATCCAGGGAATCCTTTTCTTCTAGCCTCTGCCTTTCCCCACACTCTCTCATTCTCTCTAGACAGAGATAAGTCTAATATACCAACACTTACTCTTTAAGAGTTTGTTTGCTTTCTGATTTTCCATTTATCTTGAATGAAAGTTTCCTTTTTTAAAATGTATTTATTCCTCAATTGATAAATGGTCAAAGGATATGAACAGGCAGCTCTCAGATGAAGAAATTAAAGCCGTCTATAGTATATGAAAAAATGCTCTACATCACTGTTGATTAGAGAAATGCAAATCAAAACAACTCTGAGATACCACATCACACCTATCAGATTGGCTAACATGACAAAACAGGAAAATGATAAATGTTGGAGAAGATGTGGGAAAATTGGAACACTAATGCATTGTTGGTGGAGTTGTGAAATGATCCAACCATTTTGCAGAGCAATTTGGAACTATACCTAAAGGGCTATAAAAATGTGTGTACCCTTTGACCCAGCAATAGCACTTCTAAGGCTGTATCCCGAAGAGATCATATAAATGGGAAAAGGACCCACATGTACAAAAATATTTATAGCAGCTCTTTTTGTGGTGGCAAAGAATTGGAAATTGAGGGAATGCCCATCAGTTGGGGAATGGCTGAACAAGTTGTGGTATATGAATGTAATGGAATACTATTGTGCTATAAGAAATGATGAGCAGGAGGACTTCAGAAAAACCTGGAAAGACTTATATGAAGAACCAGGAGAATGTTGTACACAGTAATAGCCACATTGTGCGATGACTAATACAGATAGACTTAACCCTTCTCAGTAATACAAGGATCTAAGACATCTCCAAGGGCCTCATAATGGAAAATGCTATCCACATCCAAAGAAGGAACTATGGAGTTTGAATGCAGATTGAAGCATACTATTTGTTATTTTTTTTTTCTCGCGGTTCCTCCTATTGCTTCTAATTCTTCCTTACAACATGACTAACGTGAAAATATGTTTAATAGGAATGTATATGTATAGCCTATATCAGATTGCATACTGTCTTGGGGAGGGAGGCAGGGAGAAGAAAAACTTAAAACTCAAAAACTTATGGAAGTGATTGTTAATAAATCAAAATAATTAAAAAAAGAAAAAATCCCACCATAGATACTTTAAAATTATTTATTTTAGTTTCAATTATTCACTTTTATAAGATTTTGAGGTCTAAATTTTTTCCCCTCTCTTCCCTTCCCCCTCCCCAAGATGGCATGCAATCTGACATAGGCTATACATGTACAGTCATATTAAACATAGTTCCACATTAGTCATGTTGTGAAAGAAGAATCAGAACAGAAGGGAAAAACCACAAGAAAGAAAAAAAAAGAGAAAGCTGTTATAAATATTTTTGTACATGTGGGTCCTGCAAATATTTCTTTTATGTCTTTTTATTCTTTTTTTTTTTTGTTTAGGCAGTTGGGGTTAAGTGACTTGCCCACGGTCACACAGCTATGTCTTTTTATTCTTAAGAAAAGAATGGAAAAGGAGGGAGGGAAAGAGGAATACATTAAAATAGGGGAAGGGAGAAGAAAATTAGGGGAAATTATCTCATATAATCAGAGTTCACAAGCAGAAGTCTATACAAACAAGGAGGAAGTGGTCAGGGAAAAAGCCTAACTCTCACCTGAACTGGTCAAAGGAGAGAAGGATATATGTACATAGAGTTGGGTAGAGAATACATTTCAGTCAACAGGGAATAGGAGAGAAAGAAGAAAAGGTAGAATTAGAGAGAAGGTATGTTAAGGGAAAGATTAGTCCTAAGGCAAATCTACTCTAACTAAAGATGTACAAAAATATTTATACCTTTTTTTTTGTAGTGGCATAGAATTGGAAACAGGGAATATTCATCAGTTGGTGAATGGCTGAACGAGTTATGATATGTGAATGTAAGTGAATACTATTTTGCAATGGAAAATGATGAAGAAGATGGTTTTAGAGAAACCTGGAAAGAATTGTATGAACCCATGTAGAGTACAGTGAGCTAAACTAGGGGAATAATTTATGCAAAGATGACAATATTGTAAAATCAATTTTGAAAAACTTAGGAACTGTGATCATTGTAATAGCCAGCCACAATTGCAGAGGTCTAATGATGAAATGTGCTACCTACTACCTGATAGTAAAAGACTCATAATACAAAATGAGACATATTTTTATGGACATCACTGATATAAAAATTTTGTTTTGCTTGATCATACAGATTTGTAACAGGGGTTTTGTTTTTCTTTCTTTCTTAATTGGGAGACAGGAGAAAGATGAGAAGTTTTGCTGACTGAAAAATAAAATAAAATTCAATTTAATTTAAAAAAAGAAGAAGAAAATGCAGGGTTGTCCTGGACAAATGAAAGTAATAGAAGTTTTATTTAGGGGCAGGGATGTGTGGGGTGGGGGAGGCTGCATTAGGTTGTACCTCAAGTATTTCTTTTTTTGTTTTTTAGGCAATTGGGGTTAAGTGACTTGCCCAGGGTCACACAGCTAGTAAGTGTCAAGTGTTTGGTCTGAGGCTGGATTTGAACTCAGGTCCTCCTGACTTCGGAGCTGATGTTCTCTCCACTGCACCACCTAACTGCCCCGCAACCTCAGCCATTTCTGCCCTTTCTCTTTATTTCTTCCCTCTGAAAATTTGAAAGGAGACTAGTCTTGAAAGGTGTATTCTGAAGACCAAGACTAGAGAGTGAGTTATGCCTAAAGGGAGAAGTTGGAAAAAGGTGTACCACCCACACAAGGGTGGGGGCCAGACTAGAGGGAGCACTGCTCAGCAGCCTTTCTCCTTCTACCCCTGACTACCCTTAGATAGGAAATAGTAAGTAGGCCAATTTGGCCTCCTTTGAGGCCAACTTTGGACTTTTGAATTAGAAATTCCTAAAGGATAGCATGTACTTCTATTACTTATCTATAGGGGAATGTTGATGTTACATATGGCATAATGGATACAGAGCTGGCCTCTACGCAGGGAAGACTTGAGTTCAAGACCTACCTCTAACACATACTGACTGCATAAATCTGGGCAAGTCATTTAACCTTTCACTACCTCAGACAAGTGT